CTATATATTTAGGTCATAAATATTTATTTACTCGAAGATAAAATACCGACTTTTTATGCTCTCCCTATTAGAAAGAATGAAATTAAACCAATTTTACTTGCCGTCCCGGAATCTTTAGTATTGCTCCATAAATAATTAAGTTTGTGTTATGAAATGTAACATGAATGTTGGTCATAAATAAAAGCTGTATGGGCAAAAATGTAAAAATCTATTTTTAACACTGGTGACCTTGACCCAACTGACCCTTAAGTCCATCCGAAGGAAGAATTTCAAGCAAGTTATCTTTCTACCAAATATGAAAAACATCTGTCAATGAATAAAGGCTGTATGGGAAAAAGTGTAAAAATCTATTCTTAGCACTGGTGACCTTGACCAACTGACCCCTACCTCAATCAAAAGGAAGAATACCATGCAAGTTCTTGGAGACAGCTCTATCGTGAAGGAGGTAGTCATGTCGCCAAGGAGATAGTTCTATGATTTCAAAAAATGATATGGTCAAGAATGTAAAAAGTTTTCGGTGAAAAAGATATTTAGGATGTTGATACAACAAGAAAGAAATAGACTATTTGGCAATATTTGTTTTATACTAGCAGTTCTTTCCGCTACATCATTCACGAAGTGATCTAACTTCAGGATGATTAGTAATCTGTTTAAATGTGAACAGTGAGTACAAACTGAGACTTCACATTTCAAATGTACACACACAAATACCTAACCTGAACACAGTATGTATACATTGCTGTAAACAATTGAGTATGCCTAAGAGTTTTAAGCCTTTCTGTTTTTAGATTATAAACATTTGAATTAACTAAAAGACAAAAACATATAAATTTCTTATTGAAATAAAATATTTCATCAATCTCTAAGATCACTTTTAACCTTGATATTTTGTTTAAAAAAGTAGGTGTCAGTGGTGTGAATAGCAGAGACATTTTCAATGTAAACATGAAGTCATTTTTGATTTTTTTGCTTTATGTGTCAGGCAATTCATTATCAACTAAAGTATTAAGGTATGTTAAGATGCCATGTCTCTAGCCTGTGGAAAAATCGATGCGATAATCTGACCTAAATTTTCTCATCCCGGCTTTAATTCAATATAGTGGTACTATTGAATCATCATGTTGGGCATATATCTGTATCAAATGTATCGGTGCAAAGCGTAAAATACCTTTGCAACGGATACCTTCTTTACAAAATGATTTATAGTTTTATCATTACTCTATTCGAAAATTTATTTCTTAATGGAGAAGAATGATGCTATGGTGCAAATATAGAAAATACATTTCGTAGGCGATAAAGAAATGCAATACAACAAAATCAGCGTTGAAACGCTTCCTTACTTGCAAAAATGTATCGAAGCTTAATAATTTATAATATAATTTTAAAAAGTTAATGTTCATTTAAGAGAGGAATGATACTTTATTTCAAATACCGATTTAAGTTTCAAATAATAAAGCTCATCTGTTCTCGTCGATTATTAAGAAAAATGACTACAATAAAATCGACACGTAAAAGACCTAAGTAATAACGGAATTGACAGAAATTGTTGTTGATTTTAAGTAACAAAAGTAGGCATGCATGCATTTGCGCATACCTCTTCCGATAGCAAGAGACCTTTTTTAATTTGTAATTCTTTCTTTTTTAAAAAAAAACAAAGGTCATTCTGGATTGATACAAGGTCCACGAGAGGTTACCCTGGATATCAAAAGACTGCAAATGAAAAAAAAAAGTTTTGAACGAACGGTAACAAGTTTATAACCATTCTAAAGCAACACTAGAACATGTTGTCAATGGGTGTGCGATGACTTGTTACAATGGATATTGCATTTCAAACAGCTTTCTGGAATTTATAGATGCTTATAAGAGGTGCTAACATGGGACCGAAAAATAAATCCTTTATAAAAAAAATTATTACATTTCCATTTTCTTGGAACCAATGAGTGACTTCTGCTTTCGACTTAAGTTGTAAATAAGAAATGTTGTTGGACGTTACTACCATACTCAACGTATAATTAAATAGCTGAATCAATATGCAGCCTTCAATGAAAAATACGACTGCGTCGTATCATATTTTATTTTAAACTGCGTCGTATCATTTCATACAAATCATTTTTTTCTTGGAAAATAAACATTTCTTTTTAATGAAATTTTAGTAAATTATGCAAAATCAAATTTTGAAGTTTATGGTGAACTCTGAAACGGATATATAATTGATTTGAAGGAAAAACGATTGATAAAGCAATATGAACTACGTCGTATCCACACAATTTCATAAAAATTCTGACCCGCTTCGAGTTGTAAGTTTGTTATATCTTTTGTTTTACAAAATAATTGCTCAAGCAACATACACCGAACAAACCGGAAAATAGTGGAGCGTGTTAATACATATATCTGGTTTTCAGTCATTTCAAACAAAAAAAGTTATAAACAAAAACATACCTTTATTGGTTTAAGATGGCGTCTTTGTTTACATTTTGTAGGATACGACGCAGTTTTTATTCCTAGCCTTTGTAAATGTTAATGTTTTATTATGCAAATTACGTCATGATATATATGCATAGTAATTACATTAGTATAATATTATTTTTATTATATTTTGTGTCGTGATAAATGTTATGAATGAAATATACCAAAACAATCAGATACTTTGAGCGTAACCATAGAGCTATCTCCTTGGCGAAATGACTACCTCCTTCACAACAGAGCTGTCTCCAAGAACAAATATCCTATATTTTATTTATTAACTAATGTTTTTATCTGATTTCAATCTTATTTCATTTCTATACCTTATATCTACTTGAAACATATTTGTTTTTAATCTGAATCGCTGTTTAGATGAAAATTGGAGGGAAAATAATCTGTTTCATGATGAAACGGTCCATTTCAATACTGAATTAGCTAACTGGGAAACGCCGCGACAACTACATTTTCAGTACGTATAATAACTTTACGTTTTCTGGAAGCTTTTATCAAATCTACATCGCATAGCATTCTCTGAATTTCGACATTAAGTGTAAAGTTTACAAAATATATCAAAAATGAAAAACTTGACACTTTATTTTAGCGACATGCACTAGCTCTGAAGAAGCGATAGAGCAATTCACCGTATACCTTCGAAAAGGGCAGCTCTATCATTTACCAGGTGTGATTTTGTCAACTTCATATCAAGTCACAAATGTAGCTCTATAAGGCCACCGATATTTACCTGGTGTCGATGGATTTAGTTTTTCCATTGTTGGAAATGGTCTGATAATTTCTTAAGATATACCTGGAGATGTAGGTCTAGATCTAGATTTATATCATATATATGACTAGATCTTATTATTTAGCTTTAAACTTTTTCAGTCCCCATGTCTACACAGTAGATCTACCGTCAGTCGGAAGTGACGTATTGGCTCGGACACAGAATTGAATTTTTTCCTGAGTTTATATAGTTGATTGCGATTGATTATGTCATCTAAACTTTGGAATTCTGTATGCAAGTGACTATAGTTCGTTCAACGACAGCAGCCATCTTGTATTCAAATCCCTTACGTTGTTTCAGTAAAATACCACCGTGCACAGTACTGGGCAACAACTTAATTACGTGACGTCGTAAATGACGTCACGTTGCATTATTATATGGCGCGCTTTTCATACAGTATTAGATTTATAAAACGTTTATTTGCATATAATAAAAAGAAAATTTGTTTAGTTTAGTTATTTCACCTTGTGAACACCAAAAGTTCATATTTCACTCGTGGCTGCGCCACTCGTGAAATATACCTTTTGGTGCTCACTCGGTGAAATATATTCAGTTGTTAAAACTTGTGGTCCGTCCCTTGCTTGCTTTTTATGAATAACTTCAACATCCATGTACGTAAAAACTGTAAATTTATTCGTTACTGTTTTGTCTATTATTATTATGTTTGCATGTGACTTTTATCTGTTTTTGTATAAAAATGCAATAAAATATAATTAAACATTAATACAAAACATAATTCGTAGTGTTTGTGGTTTTCAATATTTTGGTAAAATTTCCCGCGGAAGAAAATAAATGCAGCTAATCACATGTTTAAACAACATTCCTATGCAAACAAATCGTTTGTTCTATCAACATGACTAACAAAAATAACTTATTCTGATATTTTCATATGTTTCTCAGAAATGGGGGATCTGAAGATTGTATATGTCAACAAGAATACGAGGATCAACAAATGGCACTATAATCCATCCACAATATTCTTAGTTATGGTTCTTTATTTAGGTATTTTTTCCTTTCAGTCAAGAGTCATTTTCCACAACTGATGGGTTGGATTCAATGAATTTATAACGTTGACCATAATAGCATATAATTGTAATTCTTAGTAACAATTACAGAAAGACAAAATAAATACTCATGATAAGATTTTGCTTAAAACTGTCGCTCATTGTGCGGGCTTTGAGTTAAGTAATAGAAAGAGCACCGAAACACGAGGCTATCTGATTTGTACGAGGGGGCGTAGCCCCCGAGTATTAATCAGATTGCCGAGTGTTTTGATGTTCTTTCTCTTTTGTATCATAGTCAAACACAAAAGCACGTTCCCTGTTCCACAATATGAAACCCCGGCAAAAATGAACCAATGAACGAACATCTGAATATGACATTTCTGTCGCTTTCCCTTTCTCTGCCGTCACAATATGTAAACCCCAGCAAAAATGAGCCAATCAATGGGCATGCTCTGGAGTGCGGGTAACCAATACCCGCACTCCAGTTAACGCACTGTGCATGTATATGTATACGATTTAAACATGACACATTTTCAACAGAAAGGTCTCCAAACTATGATACATCATATTTAAAGATACCAAAAGCTTCAGTCAAAGGATTTGTATTGTATGGCGATTGATATCAATTTAACGAACTAGCTTTTGTGTATGTATATACACACAGCCTCGAGATATATATTGTAGCGAATGTATAGTTTTTTTGAAAGTATTTCCTTTAAAACATAGTTTTATTTAAATGTTACATGAATAGATATATAGTCATTTAATTAAGGAATGTCCGTATCACACCACTAGATGTTTCCTCCGAGCGATTTTGGATAGAAGTTTGACAGGAAGAAAGTGTTGATGAAGGTATACTTTCTATTTACAAGTAAATGATTTCCTCTTCTTGATATAATATTTTTGTTGACGTTTTTCGATATTTTAAATGTAACGCATGATTCATTTTATATTTAATACTAAACACCTGTCAATGACCGCATTTTATGTAAGAATAATTGATTACACCTTTCTTCATTTATTTTTTTTTTAGATTAAGTGTTAAGCTGTTAAAATAGCTGCGTACTATTTTTTCATTCAACACGTTGAATAAATTCGGCATTGAGTTAACCCAAAATAAGAACTGTTTATAAGTGAAAAAGAATAACTTTGTCATGTACGCTGGTATACATATATTGTATTGGTAACAGAAAGAGAATCGAAACATTTGTACGCGGGGCGTAGCCCCCGAGTATTGATCAGATTGCCGATTGTTTTGATGTTCTTTCTCTTTTGTATCATAGTGAAACATGAAAACACGTTCCCTAGTGTTGTCACAATATGAAACCCCAGAAAAAAATTAGCAATGAACGAGCATTTGAATATAATATTTCTGTCGCTATCCTTTTCTCTGCCGTCACAGTAAGTAATCCCCAGCAAAAATGAGCCAATCAATTGCTCTGGAATGCGGGTAACTAATGCCTGCACTCCAGTTAACGCACTGTACATGTTTACGATTAAACTCTGGCTCAGAAAAGTCCTCAAACTATAATACAACTAACAGTTAGTGCGTCTTCCTTCGGGATCATTGATGCCAGCACTATTAAGTGTTGAGAATTGAGTACCGCTCAAGCCAGTGCTAGGGGGCGTGAGGGATGTTGCACATATTCATTATCACTCATGTACAGACTCAATCAAACTGAGGATGCAATTCTCTTGTAATTTTGTTGTGATTAATGCTTCCGAGGGATCACTTTGTTTCCATATACTTTTTTACGCTATGTTTTATAACACAAATAACGTCACCTCAAAATACATTCATTGTTCACGGTCCGGTCGTGCAGTACCTTTTTTACGGCACAGGTGTTTAATTATAAGAACACCGACTGACATTCTCATTACGTACTTTTTCTTATAGTAGCGTATGAACTTATAACTTCATTCATAACGGTAAAATGACGTCATGCTAAGAACGCAATTCATTTATAAAGTGCGCGGCAATGACGTCATTTGGTTTAAACATATTTTATTAAGAATATTTGTAAATGTGTAAATAACAACATAACAATAATTATAGAGTTTAGCCGAAGGCAGAAGCGTATAGAAGCCATTATCTAACAATAACAATCTTCAATGTCAGTGGTGGTTGTAATTAACAAGTTATCAGAAATTGAACACATTTGAAAAGAAATAATGTAAATGGTTAGGACAAAGTAGGGGAGGATGTTGTGTTTTGATAGCTTTCCGTGATATACATGATATAGTCATAGACATGGTCATTGTTGAATTAAACGAAACAAGCCATTCTTCAGACCATTGGCTAATCTTTTGTAAATCAGAGTTTAGTACATTTGCTGTTATTTCGGGTGTTTTAACGATAAAGGATAAACTTGTGTCATCTGCGAAAAGTCTGATGTTGGCGTCGATATCAATTACAATGTCGTTAATAAATGTAAGGAAAAGCAGTGGACCGAGAATGGCTCATTGAGGAACACCAGCCCTGACGTAAAGAAGAGAAGATGAAGATCATTAGACAGTGACTCTTCGCTGTCTGTTGTATAAGTAGCTTTGAAACCAAAGAAATGAATCTTTACGAATTCCAACAGATGACAATTTAGTAATGAGTCCTTTGTACCATACCCGATCAAAAGCTTTGCTAATATCCCAAAATAGGATTCTTATTTTCTTTCCATTGTCTATTGCTTCACAGAAAGAATTATAAATGACTGATAGTTGGTTTATACTTGAGTTGCCTTGGCGGAAATCAGACTGATATTCTGTTAAAATGTTGTTGCTAATTAAATGACGTCATTTAAAGCACGCGACTTGTCTAACATGGGCGGTGACTGACAGGTTTTTCTAGCACCGGCGTAAACGGTACATAATCCTGTCTGATATGCAAGAATAAAGGAATCTTACACTGCCTGCCGGTACAACACCGGAATATCTAGCTCGAGGTTAATTATCAACGGCGGTTACGAGGCTCTGTTGAATTTCCGCTTAACAGTTACCCAAAAACAAGATATTCCTGTCTGTACCGACAGCCAGAGTTTGATTCCTTTTCTTGCTTATTAAATATCAATAATTTTCGGAACAGAAATTACGAAAACTTGTATTTTTATTACGCACATTTTTCTTATGTTAGCGTATGAACATACAAACATCATTCGGTGAAATGACGTCATCCTTAGAACAAAAGGCGCGCGGCAATAACTTCATTTAAAAGACAGGTTTTTTTATCGTACCGGTGTAAACGGTAGATAATCCTATTCAATATGCAAGAAAAATAAAAATAACAAATATGTAGAAAAGCATATTGTACGAAAGTACAATTACAATTATAAACGCCCATGTTTTATATTTACAGAAATCAGTCGCAGCACTCATTTTGTTGTTGACAGTTGGATTAAACAATGGTAAAAATTAATTGATTTATTAATTTATAAATAAATTGTTTCGAACCATTCAGTACGTATATGTGATTGGAAAAAATAGATATACGAAAATCATAGAAATTTCTAGAGAGAAAATAAAAGCACACAATATCGCTATCAAACAAAATCTGGCAAAGAAGAATATCTTAAAATTTGCTCTGTTTTAAAAGCGTGGTGTCTAAGTAAAGCGGATGCACTTGGTATTTTCAAGAAAATTTAAAATAGTTTTTACTAACAAAAATGAAGAAATGGGACAGTTTCCAGGGTGTTTCATTTCTGATTTAAAGTGTTGAAATTATGTAATTATGATTTTAGAATAGTGTCTTTAATGATAAGGTTTACTGTCTTGCAGATACATAAAATCTAATAGATGTTCTTTTTTTTGGTATTAGATCAGTTTTCTTTTGTAGATGTAAGTCTTTAGTGTAAATGGATTAAGAAACGTTATATAGCGAGATATTAGTATTGATATATAAGTATTGAGATCTTAGTATTGATATATTACTATTGATATATTTGTATTGAGATATCAGTATTGAGATATTAGTATGGGCATACTAGCGTTGTTAGTATCCGCTAAAAAATATGTTTTAAATAACATAGCTTGTGCTGCAAGATCAAACAAAATGCTATATAAAACATCATATTCTATTACATATATTTATTTCTTAATATAAAACTCAACTCTGTATTTATTTATGTAAATGATAGTTTAACTGATTTGACTTTTGAAATTGTTATTTATTGAACATTATGTAAAAACACGAGGAGCGAAGAGCTCAAGTCCAAACAAAGATTTCGTTGTCTTCTATTCTGTTAATGGCGAACGTTGATTATTTATGTTATAAAGGAATGGTTATACAGTTTGGAAACATGATTAAGAAAACGTCCCGAATACCCCCACTGTCATTCAACGGGTATGGAAACTATTGTGGTATGTTTGGCAGTGGAAGAGAAATGGACAACATAGACAGGTTGATATATATTAACTGCTTCAAATTAGATAAACATACAATATAGTTAAATGAAACTCTTTAAATAGAATAAGAGTAAATAAAACACATCGTCAAACTGTTAAATTCGTTAATACTTGTCATATGAAAAATTAAAACAATGCTAATCCAAATTGAAGAATAACATATGCCACATTACGTTTTATACATATGTTCAAACCCAGTGTAATCATTAATCTTGAACTGTTTCCAGTACGTAATAAAACGATATACTTTAATCAAACTGATAATTTATATTAGATGCTGGGTAGTATATTCATATCCTTTTAAAAGAACACGAACACAAGTCGATACGCTGCTGAAATTTTAAATTATATAGTTGATTAAAGATAAACGTTTCAAGAGAAATATTCTGTTTATTCATTACAGATGTTGCAGTGCCCACGACAAATGTCTTTCAACAACAAACAGATTTCATTGTCTTCCGTTCTTTTACTTCTCTTATTATATATTGCCATACAGTTGGTACATGCAAGACGGTCACATCCAGTGCGGTAAGCGTTAATCAACATAATTGTACATTATGTTGTAATCTAAATTTTCGAATCATACATATGTTCAAGTTACATATTTTAAATTTTAAAGTAAATGTAACAAGCGTTTTCCAAGACCACGGTTGATTAAGTGAGCACAAAAGATAAATTAGTATACAGAAACAGGATATACTGTACAGAAACAGTATATTATATACAGCGGCAGGATATAATGAACAAAAAACAGGATATAGTATACAGAAACATGATACATGTAAAGGAAAAAGGATGTAATGTACGAAAAGGATATTGCTCATTGTACATAAAATAGGATATATTGCAGGAAGCATGATATAGTGTACAGGAAACATGATATAGTGTACATGAAACATGATATAGTGTACAGGAAGCATGCTATTTCTTTTATTCCTAAAGCAGAATAGTAACAGAGACTGGCGTGTCATCAAATAAACTGTTATGATATTTTTACTTCCATTCATTGTAGCTCCAACAAATACACGATGTGCACAAGGGCTATGCGACTGTGACAGACTCTGTGCTGAATGTTTTGCCAAGTACGACAACGAATATAATCCAGCTCTGAAAAGACGATTAAATATAATGGGATGACAAAAAAAAAAATTTAACTACAGTTGTCTTCCCCCCCACTAACAACGTTATACTGTAAAAAATATAAGGGATACTGTCATTGCTAGAAATCTCATCTGAAATATCAACTTATATTAAAACTTTTGTAGACTGCTTATAATGTTTCATGGTTATTCAAAGCACTTTTTTCTTTTCATAAAAACCAGAAATTAAAAACACCTAAAAATTCTGAACAATCTTTTTGGGACGTAAAGTAAATAAAATTCATAGAAATTAAATCGATAAAAACCAAATGTAAATAAAATAGATATTGGTGGTAATATATTTTCTCATGTGGAAAAATCAAATCCCTGAAAATTTTATGTTCGAAATTTTCCCAAACCACCACTGTTTTTGTTTTATTTTGTAATAAACCGTTAAAAAGTTTGTCGTCTTAATTGTGCAGGAAATTTGTTTCCAAGTTTAAAGATTTTAACGTTTTCCAGATTTAAGAAAAAAACGTCACTAACAAATCTTTGAAACCCTTATATAAATTTTGAAAAGTTATGTTATAAAATAAAAAAATGGGCAAATGATATAGCGTGACCTCACACCCTCTATAAATACTTTTGTTTACTCACAACTGTTTAATTGAACCTCTGAAATCCTATGCATGCGCAGTGATGAAATGAACTGCTTACCTCTCAACATTTTTAAATGTTACACCCTTGTCACTGGATACTTCCGTTTATGCCTTTAGAAAATATTCGGTAAGCGAACGTCGGTGTAGTATTGTTTTTTATAGAACAAAAAAGAACATACTCTTTATATGGAAGACACAGATCAGAAAATCAAACCTCTGTAGGAATCAGTGCCAACTTTTTTCAGTGATATTGTATTGGCATGGTGCAAAGTACACCTTACAGTCAACACAGTTGTAAAAAAATATTAGAATGTTACTATTTTATTAGTAAGAAACATACATGTATATTATAGTTTGATTGCAAAGCATTTGGTAATAAAACAGTTATTTTTCATTGTTGTTTGTTGAACAGTCAAAACTGTTTAACACGGTATCACGGATGACCTTTTGGAACTGTTGACCCGGGCCTTTCAGCCTCTGGCAAAGTTCCATTATTTTTTTATGTCATCCCCAAGGAAGGGAATCACGCCCGTTTCGTTACCCAAAAACAAACAAGAGGCGGATGCAGCCAAAGAAGTAGGTTTTTTCAATTTTTTCTCTGAAAAATTTCGTGATGTTCTTTTGTAAAAGTACATATAAACAACCTTCTCCCAACAATTTTCCTTTGGCATACACCATGAAAAATTTATTTCATGAAGTTTCGTTCCCGCACTTCTTCTGAAAATCGCGGTCCACCCAAAATTCGAAAGGAGAAGAATTTCCCCCCACCGGTTTGGGAATCGTGGGTTAGCCGTACGGCTTCTTCTCTAAAATTTTCACTCTTTTCTTGTTTACATATTATGTATATTAACTGAAATCAAATTTTTACATT